TTGTTTGGTCACACAACTGTCTTAAACCACATGTATCCTCTCTTGATCATAAGCAAGTAAAAGACCAATGATCTTGACCGAAGAGATCTGGCAACCGGGTGCACCGGACATTCAATCACCACATCGTGGAAGCCAAAGTTGCTGAAGCAGCCTACTGGTTTTTGAACGTAAAGGGAGCGGGGGGGAGAGAGAGAGAGAAGAGAAGTTTTTGGATTGGTGAAACTGAAGGATTTTTAAGAGAGAGTGTGTTACAAATTAGAAATGAATGACTTGGCTTTTCAGCTTTGTCCATTATAACAGACAAGTGAGAATGGGAAAGGCTGAAATATACATCTTCTAATTTAAAATATATTTATTGCACATTAAAAACTGCCCAGAATGTGTACCGTCTGGAAAGTACAAATCAGTTGCCAAGAATAAAATTTGAAATCAATGGTATATTTAAAAAATAACAAAATTTCATTGCAGCTATATATAATACTGTGATTTTTTTTTTAATTCTAGAATCTTCAATGCTGTGATAGTGTTTAATGTGCAATGAATATATTTTCAATTCTAGAATATGTACCATCCAAGTTTTTCAATGAGCATAATTAATTAAAATTAAAATGAGATGTAGTGAGAGAGGATATGTATTTAGTAAGGGTAGTAAGACCAAGAGACTATTGACCAGGTTTAAATGAGTGGAATTTTTTTGTTGACTAAAGGGATACTAATGTCATTTGAGTGTTTAACAGGGATATTTTGGGTAATCAAAAGTTTTTCTAAGATGTAGACATTTTAGAGTAGTATAAATATAGATTATTGTGGATGGAATACGTAGCAACATATAAAATATTCAGACAACAAGTATCAAAGGACACATACTTTGATTTATAGGTGTATATTTAATTATTTCAATATAATGATAAGAAATAACATCACTACTATAAATTAAACTTGTCTACATGCAACACACATATGTACCAATGTATCAAGTGATAATTTCACATTAAAAAATATTGTTGATAAATAAAATTGAGTATTCGTCTTAAGAGATAGAAGGGTTGTCAATTAAACTAGGCCAAATTTGTTTGATCATTAATTATCTTTAAACTTTGAAAGAGGAGATTGTTATGGTAGGTATGTGTGGGTATGTAGCCAATGTATTTTACCATATTTACAATTAAATTATAAAATAAGACGCATAAATTACCAAAACTACATTTTGAGGCAATTTTTGATAATATTCCTGTTCTAAATAAATTAACCTATATACCGATATGATAAATATAAAATCAAAACTATTGTCAAAAATAATTTACGTACAATGCACATGTGCAATATTTAGTAGATATAGATATAGATATGGATTAAAGTGATACATATTAGATATTTGATGGATTAAAATGGCTCAGTGCAAATCACGAGGTTCAATGTGAAATAAAGCTCATACTTTAGGGAATATTGCTCTAATTTATCCTAGGCTATATAACTTGGAAGCAATACCAGGCAGATCAATATGTACTCTCTCCTTGGTAATAATGTTGGTCAAATGAGAACTGCATACGAAAACATGAACTTATGGCCAGTTTTTTTGGTGTTTTTGTCTCTTGTATTGTGTTTTTGGTAATTGTTTTTGTTTTTTTTCATCATTTGTCTTGGAAGCAAGTCAAAAAAATGAGAACAAAAAAATTGTGTTCTAGGAAATACCTGAAACACAAAACACGCGTGCAACACTGTTGAAAATTTTAATGAGGTCTCGGATTCGACCCTCATTACCAACAAAATATGTTATTTTTTGGGGAAGTATAAAACATGACTTCAGGCCTCTCTTCACCCATTCTGTGTGTGTGTGTGTATACGAACGAAGACGAACCGATGGCATGGAAGAAGACGATCTCTCTGTCTCTGTGGAAGAAGACGATGCTCCCTCTTTCTCTCTTGAGATGATACTCTTTGTGAAACCCAGAGGACGATAATCTGTGTGTTTGTATGTGTGTGTGAGTGACCAGTGTGTATGTGTGTTGCGTTGAGTTTGTGTGTGTGTAAAACCCGAATTGTTTTTTAAAAATCTTAATTAAAGGGGTAAAATAATAATTAATTGTTAAAACACGGGTAAAAAACGTGAATTTTTATAAAATTCAGATGATGAAACGGACCTACCATTGGATTTTTCTCGCGAAATCTACCTACCTAGTAAATTTAAAATGAGACGAAATTTAATTGATTCGAAATAAAAATTGGACACGTTTAAAAGAAGACGTGTTGTGCAATGTGGGCCAAAAAAATTTAGGCTATATATAAGTGGAAGAATTTTGTCTTCCACTTTTATTTTTCTTCTCCAGAGGTTAGTAAGACATAGAGATAGAAAAGAGAGAAAGAGAAAAAAAGAAAAAGGAAAAAAAGTAGATCTCTTGATCTTCTTCTTCAGATCTACAAAAATTAAACTGTTTAATTGCTTCGGGCCAAGAATTAAAAATGCTCTATACAACGAGAGCTACGCAACCACACAAAAGATCATATTTTTCTCCAAAAATATCAAAGACGAGAATCTAGGCCTAAGACTTGTGAAGCTAAATTCGGGCTTTCCTTGGAGTTCTACTACGTGGGCTCACGCCATGAGAGGTAGGGTTTCCGCTATTTAGATGTAATTTCAACCTAAAATATGTCATATGAAATGTGTAGGTTAAGGGTGTATATCACATGTTAGATCTTGACTAGTGTAACTAGTGGGTCAAATATATGATTTATAATTAACCTTGTAATTAGTAAAATCTTATTATAATTAATTTGGTGTAAGTTAATGTTAGTGGTTTAAAGTATGTTAATTGTACATTAGCATGACTTAATGTTTTAATGGCATATCAAGTTTAATAAAATTATTAGCTTGTTATGTAATTATGAAATAATATGTATGTTAAATGATTATTTAGCATATGATTAATGTGGTGGATTTGTGCTTATGTTTATAGAATTAATAAACATATTACCATGTTGAAAGTAATAAACATGCTAGTTGTGTAAATTGATGTGCCCTCTAGGTGTTTGTTTAAATGCCTAGATGAATACAAATATGTTACTTGAGTTGATTATCTTACATAACATGTTTGGGATTGTGTTGAAAATATCATTATATTGCATTCATAATGTAATAGACATTGTAAATGGTACCAAAGGTAATTGCACATTGTATTGCATTATGTATGAGTTGCACTACATACATGGGCACTAACATGGGTGGGGGTGTGTACATGGTATAAAATCAATCACGACATAGGTGGTTGATCGTGGGCTCGGGAAAGTCGCACCAAGGTTTGGCTGAGTCGCACGAGAAATTTAATGGATAAACGTGTTGGGGTATAGCAAGAAGGGTTAGATTCTCCCTCAGGTGCAAGACCCGCTTACTTGGTTTATACACTTTCTGGTAGTGCAATTCCATAAAAGTGTAACGGCGAAAACCGAGTCGCAGGTGGGATGTCCTGAAAATTCGTTGATGGTATAATGTCCCATTGGTGTAGACCATAAATCATCTCCTCACAAAGACACAAGAAAATGAATTAATTAGTCATTGAGTGTACATAACACCAATTACGAGGGCTTGAAATGTCCGGATACATACGCATGACATTGCATGTGTTGTGGGAGCTCGGTGTTGGTATTGCTTGAGTGAGTCTCATCTCATGGCATGACATGATTTATGACATTTGTTCATAATAGACATATGTGAATGAATGCATGAAATGATTGTTGCATGTGACATTTCATATGCATTTAAGTTGAGAGGTATTCTCTATAGGAGTTACCCTATTGAGCGTTGACTCACCCTTTATGAGAACAATTTTCAGGTACACTACATACTGTCACCAAAGGCCCTCCTACTAGTCCGCTTTGACGACAGAGCCAGACTATGGCTCTTATTTTGATGTCGTAGTTCCTTGTTTATATCTACTTTTGGCCTTGTATAATTTTTGTAACAAAAATTTGTTTATATTTGAAAGGCATATACATGGTACTCTTTTGAGACATTTATTCTTTTATGAATGAATGTACGTAGTGATGATGATTATGGTAGTATTTGATACTATGCAATTGAGTATGGGTGAATGAACCCAGTGTGGTCAATATTGTATGATTGCACATGTTGCGTTTTAGGTAGAGTTCTCTGTATAAAGGAGACTCTGCCTCATTTTTTTTTAAATTATGGATATCGGTAAATAGGGCATAAAGGCGTGGTATCGAGTTTCACGGTATCCACGAGTATTTTACGGGTTGACGGGTGATCAACGGGGTAATTATAGACACCCGAATTTTGGGGCATCACAATGTGTGTATTGTGTTTTCTGTGTGTGTTGTGTTTGGGATTGATTGTTATTTGACATTGATTGAATTGTCATTTGAAATTGTTGAATTACCATTTATGATTAATTGAATTGTCATTTGAGATTAAATTGTCATTTAGAATTGATTGAATTGCCATTTGGGATTGATTGAATTGCCATTTAGGATTGATTGAATTGCCATTTGGGATCAAATTGTCCTTTGGAATTGATTGAATTGCCATTTAGTCCCAATTTTTTTTTTGGTTAACAAGCTAATGAGTAGATTGAATTAATTTGATGATCTTTGATGGATTAATACTATTAAAAATTGTATCAAACATTAAAAAATAAATGATGTGTCACACAGAAAATCATCGGGTATGTATGAAAATCGTTAGAGGCTCGAAAACCCATGAGTGATTGGGTCACAAATGGGTTTTGGACCTACTTCTACATAAGCAAGGGCCCTAAAGAAGAGAATTAATTTTTTTGGGCTATGAAGCTCAACTGTTTATATTTAGGATAAAACTTGAAGTAGTTATTAAATATATTTTTTGTTTTTCTTGTAATAATTTGATAAACACAAGTGACTCCTAAGCATATTTTCTGTTTCGGTGTTTTACCACAATCAGAGACAAAAATTGTCTATGTTTTTTATTTTTTGAAGACGCAAAAACAAAAACGTTGCCAAACGATCCTTTACTTTCCAACATAGCCGAGGCATTTTAGATCGGCAATACTGTCTAATTGTAGTTGTTTGTTCTTTCCTCTCAAAAGCTTTGTTGTTACTACTAAGATCATCTTTGGGGGTATCCTGTTTTCGCGATGGCTGACTTCATCACTAGGGACATTGGTTGAATAGCTATCATCCTCATCAATGGCTTCCTCGTTTAAGTCTAAGGATGAGCACTTCTGAGAAGATACATGAGAAGAGGTATCGGCTTGAATATCACTTCCAGTAATTTTATCTTCCTCAGATATTTCTATTCTCTCATCCATAACTCTTGTAGTTTTTCCATCATTTTCCATGTCTATATTGCTCCACCCACCAATTGTGGTGAAATAATTTTCGGGCAT